ACCACGAAAGCGTGGACAATTTAGAAGTGGTCCTTATTGGTGCGCCAGCGGACGCCGGCTGTGGCCCAAAGAACAAGACAGAGCCGAGAGTTGATAAACAAACAAATTATATTCTCAATAATGGCAGATCGAAAATAATACACAAAAATGCACACTCCACACTAGTTACATACAATATGTCACCGATCAAACCAATCAATCAACGTACTACACAATACAATCAGCCACACTTGAAACAACGGACACGGACAACAATACGCACTACAATGCAGTCGCATGCATTGAACAACCAAGACACTTAAGGACTAAAGCGATAGAAAACCTATTCAGTCCAAAGTTCTTGGAACCAAAGTCTAGATGATACTCTTCCGAGAATCACTCACTCAAAGTCCAGCGTTGTTGTCGTTCCGCGGCTCTCGAAGTTTCTCTTCCAGGAAACCTCGCCGGAGTTTCTCTTCCAGGAAAACTCCCGTCTTCAATTGGCCACTCTTCAAACTTCAACTTCTTCGCCGGAAACCTGTCGGCTTCCCACACGCAGCTGTTGCCCGCGTCTTCGCTCGATAGCGGTAAACCCACGCTCTTGCCTGTAGCTCGAGCCGTCCCTACGGACCAAAAACTTCGCCGACTACACGGCGGACTCTCTACGCACTCTGGCGCTCACTTCCGTCTCCTCCTGTTCTGTCACTACGGGCAGAACCTTCGCCGACTACACGGCGGAATTCCTACGCGCTCCGGCGCTAACTTTCCGTCTTCTGCTTTCTCGTCTCGGCCGCGATTATTAATACCTTCCGCGCACACTTCCAGAAATTTCTCGTCATTTCGTCGGCGCGATACGCAGCGAAGGCTGGGGAGAGGCGCGAGACGGTTCGACTGCCCTCTCGGAGGATGATTCACTCGGTCTGACCCCGCCTCCTTCGTTCTAGAAAAATCGCGGCCTTGCTGGGCCGCCGATGTGGGGTGAGGAGGATCGTCTGCGAAGCCGTGCTTCTGCGGGGAGAGCGCGCGCCCGGGAGCCCTGGATGTTTGCTTTCTTTTTTTTTTCTTTTTACCTCGCGGCGTTTCTGCCGCCCGTTGTCGCAAGGATTTGGCGGCGCGCTCTTGTTTAGCGCTCGTTCTGTGACACACTAACATTTGTAATAATTTATTTTCCATTTGAAATTTGTTGAAAACGATAAAATTAACATCACTGGCTCGACCAGCTCTCTGGCAATCTGGATATATACTTTGTTTTTGTGTTTGACATGGTGAAATTGCCAAAAAGCCCCGTAAGAAATAGCTCATTCTGTATTGTAAAAATTCAGTATCTTCTGTTCCGATGCAGCTATCGAAAATCTACTTAGAGATTTGGAACCTTCAGAAGAAGCTAATAAGTTTATTAAGCTTCATTCAATTCAGACAATTAATAAAAAATTTTTTTAAGACCCACGTCTCCCCTTAAAATGATCAAAGCAGTTCATCAGCAATGTGTGCCTGTTTGCTTTCCTTGCATCATATGGCATCGCGATGGGCAAGGGCATACACAAAAGCTGTTAAGGTCAGAGCGTAAAGAGCTCGTTTTGTAGAAATTCTAGTGTTGGTGTTGTTGGTTTGGTAATGTTGGTCCTGTTTCCGAGCGCCATACTCGTTTTCGGAGAGTTGTAGGCTTGGCGACTGTCGCTATTGGCATAACATGAGCTCGGTGATCTGCGATAGTGCGAGTGCTGCCAAATCTCAGAGTTCATAATAATGTGCGAAAGCTTGCTTATTCCTAATTTCTCTAGATGGCGTGACCAGTCTGAAAGTCTAAAACCTATTCATTGCCAGGAAAGGATTGAAGGTTTATGTTTCCGTCTACAGCTAAATTTACGAAAACAATCAAGAAAAAGAAAAATCAGCGCTTTTTGCCAGATTTGTAATGGCGCCCTAAGCTAAATCAGTTGTGTTATTCTCTGTGAATCCGTTTGCGAAAAAGAGCTTGGCGTTTTCCGTCCGCGACGTTCCCGGCACGGATGGCAGGAATCCGTGAGGTCGCGTGACGTGATGCACCATCCTTCGCGGAAGAGATGGATTTGGTCCGTCGTGTGGATACACGTCTAAGAACCCCAGGTAATCGAAAGTTTCGGAGCCCTCCACTACGGCATGTCTCATAATCATATGGTACCCCGCAGCGGTGGTCTAGTGGCTAAGGTACTCGGCTACTGACCTGCAGGTCGCAAGATCGAATCCCGGCTGCGGGGGCTGCATTTCCGATGGAGGCGGAAATGGTGTAGGCTCATGTGCTCAAGTTTGGATGCACGTTAAAGAACCCCAGGTGGTCGAAATTTCCGGAGCCCTCCACTATGACATCTCCCATAATCACTACGACATCTCCCATAATCATATGATGGTTTTGGGATGTTAAACCCCACACATCAATAATCAATTAATCATAATCATATGGTGGTCTTGGGGCGTTGAACCCCACATATCAATCAGTCAACCAATCAATCAATCAGCCCAATGGGTGCCCCAGCCAACTTGGCTAGACTTACTGCGTGCACTTGCCACTCACGTCCTTGACAGAAACAAATCAGGGACCTCCTCTATGGCATGGATTGCAAATGAAGCAACTCTGCACAACTTTTAAGCTTGGGTAGAAAATGCTGCTCATCAATACTAGAGACTTTTGAGAGCATGTGAGCCAAACATTTTAGCACATCACGCTGCCTCTAACTGACAATTAGTTATCTGCCGGCTAAAAATCTCCCCCCCCCCCCTCTTTTTTCGGCAAATGACACCATAAACCCAAATGATGGCACTATAAACGCAATGTCCACGGCCATTGCATGATTTGAGCATCGTGAGGTGCATATTTATAGCAGTCGTTGGGGATGCTGCATTGTGGCCACAATAAAGATGAGCCATGTTTTTCAAAAACAAAAAAGTGCTCAAGGTGTGACGCGTGCCATTTAATGTTTGTAGCTTCTTGCGTTTGTGTTTCTAAAAGTTTTTCAGCTGTTGATTCATAAGGCAGTAAAATCTTTTAGTGCTGGCATTGCACTGAAAAGTGTGTCGGGGCGCTTTTACAGTGGGCTCTCGTTAACCCTTTGAGGGATAAGGACGTACATGTATGTCATCCGCTACAGGCACAAGATAGTTGAAGACGTACATGTACGTCATTGCCTGTATGCTTAAAAAATGCTTGCATTCTCTGAATTTCTTTTGCTTGGCGTGTCCTGCCACAGTGCAAGAATACAGTGCACCCTCGATTATCTGACCATCAGGGGACCACGCTAAACCGTTGTATAAACCGAACGTCGTAACCGAAAAACCAAGATTACAGATGGTGACACTCAGCCGAAAAACAGGTACAGACTGCCTGAATAAGCCCACGGCACGACCTTGTGCCTCTGCATGTGAAGTTGCCTGCATGTGAAAACGAAACCGAAACCGCGATGCCAACAGCCTCCCGTCAGAAAAGTCGGACACAGTGTCATCATTGCACCACGAGTTTGTGTAGAATGCATTTGTGCATGACAGAGCTGTGCACATTGCAATTTGTTGCCTTGTGAAGTGCAACTAGTGGTGTCCCGCTGTTATTATGAAAGTCGACATCAATGTGAAAATAATTTTGCATGGTGAAAACAGCTGCGTCCCGCCCTTATGCATGCTCATGCCTGTGGAGGACCATTGGTCAACCCCTAGGTTGACGAATGGAAAAGTAGAGAGAAAGGATGTCTTCACGGAATGGAAAATAATGGAAAACTATTTTTCCTGGAAGTTCATGCGCTTCTACATATGTCTCGATTGCATGCGCTTATATCTTGGGTCGTTACCTAGTCAAGCTGCTCTCCACATATAGTAGCTTCAACCACCAAAAAGCTAATATTTTTATATTGTCAGTCCGTGGAAAACTTTCTTGGTCGACCTACATATGATCTTCTGCCTTTGCCACACTCGCAGTCACTGGCATGAGCGTGCATAAGAGCGGGACGCAGCTGTTTTCACCATGCAAAATTTTATGTGTGTGTGTTTGTGTGTGTGCGTGCGTGCTTCACTACAGTAGTGCATCGGCTAGTTTCGGTTTCGTTCTTCCCCCGATTCCCGCCTGTTGTGCCTGTAAAACCAATGGCTTTCCACTTTAGAATATTTCATAAGCTGACTGACGTAAGGTTACTCTCTTGTTTATTATTCTCCAATATATGATTACGCTTGCTTTTTTGCAGGCGCTGACTGACACAAACAATGCAGCTATGGTTGTTTTCTGTTTTGGGGACTCGCAAAAAACTGCTTTCCTCTCTCTGGTGATATGACGAAAGATTATTATAGGCTTAAGATTAGCCTCTGCTTTCTGTATGCGCTCAAAACTGTGAAGTTTTCTTCAGTGTGCGATGATTTCTCTGCCGCGAGTCTAGCGGGTAGTCCTCCAAGCTGCCATTCGGCTCCCGGATCAGAATGTGAATTTGGCTCCCGAACCAGTAAACGTCAGCCCAGTGTGAAAAAATTTACCTACCAGTTAAGACTTAAATATTGATGAATTGAGCGACATTGCAAAAGCATGCGAGACAAGATGGTGCTGACTGGATCTAAAGTGGTTTTTCTCTCCCCGCCTCCACCCCCGCTCGTGTTTCCACTTAGTGCAACATTGTGTATTTATATTAATTTTTGTACGTCTGTGAACAACATGGGTGTCTATTACCACTCAATATTTTTAATTGTTATTATAGCTTTCCTTTAGAATGTATCTTGAAGTTACTCACGAATTTACGTACGAAATAAATGATTTTTTGTCACTTTATGGTCACCCCAAAAACTTTGAGGTTTTTTTTTTTCTTGAATATATTTGCCTGGAGAACCTAATTAAGCGATAAAATAAACACATTGTTTGGGGTGCACGAAAAAATTAGACCCTCAAAGGGCTAAAAAAATTATGGACGGCAAAAGGTTTGGCATCTTGAAATTTCAAATGTCCTCGATTCCTCCGAGTTTGCAGTTGTGCCGCAAGGCGACCTAAGCATGTCTAACACTATATGTCTCTGCAGCAACTGCAGCTGTTTCATCAGAACTACATGGCAGTGAAAGCTGTCCAAGAAGAGCCTGTTAAAGATCTGATGTTGGTCAAAGAGGACATCTACGACGTCGCTCGCAGGTGAGTTTATAACTCCTCCGCAACTTTTGTTTCTCCATGTCCCATCTGAAATTCGCAAAATGTGCAACATAGTGTTGCGGCTTTGGGTCCCGCGGGTCTCATTCTGGTAGCAGGCCCCTGTCCTCGGACCCATCGTCGAACATGTCAGCCGAGTATAAAAGTTCTGCTACATATATGGCGCCGCATTGCCAACTCTGGGCGCATTGTCCGCAGCTTCAGCCAATAGGGCGCTCGATGATCTGGGTGCTCCACCTTTGAAGGCTTAATAACTTAATTATATCAATTGCACCTGATAAATCTGATACCTGATACACAACTTGTAATGGACATTCTAACTTCATAAAGATCAAGCTGTAAAAGGTATGTGAGAAACGAAAATCTCCACTGTTTTCATTAAGAGGTATAAGGTGAGGGCTCGGATAATACGAGTTGTACCTCTATCGGATTTGGGATTCGCAATGCTACATTATGTTGATACAGTTGAATCCCGCTAGAACGAAACTGATGGGGCGCGGAAAAAATTTTGTCGAAGCGAAAGTTTCGTAGTTAAATAGAAAAATATAGCTGATCTGAGCTAGCAAAAACAAAGAAACGTATATTCTCGAAATTCCAAAAGTCTCCGCTGCTTCCTGTTCTTTCCCAGCAGCGTCACGACGCGATTCTCCCCCATGCATAGCGAGGCCACGGTGAAAAGCATGCTGAAACAACGCCTCAAACCGCCTTCGTGAACAAACCAGACAGTTGCATTAATACGTTAACACCGGCAGCTGGCCGTCAACAAAAGTATCCGAGAACGCTGAGATGGAGGATGGGTATCGTGTAGCGGCGACTTTTGCCTTATTCTATGCCATTTTTATCATCCATCACTCGCGGCTGGCTGATTTTGTTGATAATGCATATGAACAGCCGCTCTGATTAGTTACCACACTGACCAAGCGCGAACATAATGATAAGCATCGGAAAAGCCATCATTTCGCGGTGGCACCCAGCAGCTGCGTGAAAGAAACCATGAACTGAGCTTCAGCTTCGGATAGTCTGTGGCTCAAAAGCAAGCCAGTGGCAAAAGCAGGGCAGTCTCGTTGCCATCGCTATCGAGCAGTGGCAGCACCCATGTTTGCTGAACAGCGGCGGTTTCTGGTGGATGCCATTGCATGTTTTAATCTTCGTTGACGCATTTTCAGAATGCATCGAAATGTTGAAGATTGGGTTTACTGCATAGTAATAATATAGTAATAAGTATCTGAGCCTGGAATTGCAGCATGAAATTTCGTTGAAGCAGGACTACTGAACGAAATTCTGCTCGGAAAAGCTATCCTGTGCAAACGAAAAAAGAACTAGAAGTTTGCATGGGTCGCTGATGGCAAAATTCTAATGCGGAAGTCCGAGAACTCGAGAGTTGTACACGTCACATGCGATGACGACCTGATTAAAATAGTATAAATAGCGGTTTGCAACTACTGGTACTCCTATAACTAACATCATGCCGCTCTCTGTAATCACACCTTACAACGTACCTAAATACAACAATATCTCTGTCTTCTACACGAACATCCGCAGTTTAAACAAGAATTTGAACTTGCTCCTTGCGTTCCTTTCTACGCATGCCCAGCATGTCGATGTTATAGCGTTGACGGAATAATGGCTAAAACAAGGGCGAAAATTGCAACATCGATGGGTACACATTCATATCTAATCCACGAGAGTCACGCACCCGTGGCGGCGGTGTGGCCGTCTTTGTAAAATCAGGATACTCGTTTTCGAAACTAGAATCCATCACATGTAGCTGCGCAGATATTGAATCATCATCATCAGCCTGACTACGTCCGCTGCAGGACAAAGGCCTCTCCCATGTTCCGCCAGTTTACCCTGTCCTGTGCTTGCTGCTGCCAATTTATACCCGCAAACTTCTTAAGTTCATCTGCCCACCTAACCTTCTGTCTCCCCCTAACCCGCTTTCCTTCTCTGGGAATCCAGTTAGTTACCCTTAATGACCAGCGGTTATCCTGTCTACGCGCTACATGCCCGGCCCATGTCCATTTCCTGTTCTTTATTTCAACTATGATATCCTTAACCCCCGTTTGTCCCCTAATCCACTCCGCTCTCTTCTTGTCTCTCAAGGTTACACCTACCATTTTTCTTTCCATTGCTCGCTGCGTCGTCCTCAATTTAAGCTGAACCCTCTTTGTGAGTCTCCAGGTTTCTGCTCCGTAGCTAAGTACCGGCAAGATACAGCTGTTATATACCTTCCTCTTAAGGGATAATAGCAATCTACCTGTCATAATTTGAGAGTGCTTGCCAAATGTGCTCCACCCCATTCTTATTCTTCTAGTTACTTCAATCTCGTGGTTAGGCTCTACGGTTATTACCTGCCCTAAGTAGACATAGTCTTTTACAACTTCATGTGCACTATTACCTATCTCGAAGCGCTGTTCCTTTCCGAAGTTGTTGTACATTACTTTCGTTTTCTGCAGATTAATTTTAAGACACACCTTTCTGCTCTCCTTGTGTAACTCCGTAATCATGAGTTGCAATTCGTCCCCTGAGTTACGCAGCAATGCAATGTCATCGGCGAAGCGCAGGTTACTAAGGTATTCTCCATTAACTCTTATCCCTAACTGTTCCCATTCTAGGCTTCTGAAAACCTCCTGTAAACACGCGGTAAATAGCATTGGGGAGATTGTGTCCCCCTGCCTTACACCCTTCTTGATTGGTATTCTGTTGCTTTCTTTATGAAGCACTATGGTAGCAGTTAATCCCCTGTAGATTTCTTCCAGAATGTTTATATATACTTCATCTACGCCCTGATTCCGCAGTGTCTGCATGACGGCTGATATTTCTACTGAATCAAATGCCTTCTCATAGTCTATGAAGCTATGTATAGTGGTTGGTTATACTCTGAGCATTTCTCTATTACCTGATTGATAGTATGAATGTGGTCAATTGTTGAGTAGCCTGTTCGAAATCCTGCTTGTTCCTTTGGTTGATTGAATTCTAATGTTTTCTTTACTCTGTTAGCAATTACCTTTGTAAATAGCTTGTACACCACTGAGAGCAAGCTGTTCGGCCTGTAATTCTTTAAGTCCTTGTCATCTCCTTTCTTATGTATTAAGATGATGTTGGCGTTCTTCCAAGACTCTGGTACCCTTCCCGTCAGGAGGCACCTCGTAAACAGGGTGGCTAGTTTTTCTAACACAATCTGTCCTCCATCTTTCAGCAGATCTGATGTTACCTGATCCTCACCAGCAGCTTTGCCTCTTTGCATGCTCTCTAAACTTTTTCTGACTTCTTCTATCATTACTGGTGGGGTGTCATCTGGGTTACTGCTAGTTCTTATAGTATTAAGGTCGTGGTTGTCTCGGCTACTGTACAGATCTCTGTAAAACTCCTCCGCTATTTCAACTATCCTATTCATATTGGTAGTTATTTTGCCTTCTTTGTCCCTTACTGCATACATCCGACTTTTGCCTATCCCAAGTTTACTCTTCACTGCTTTGAAGCTGCCTCCGTTTTTCAGAGCGTGTTCAATTCTCTCCATGTTATACCTTCTTACATCGCATACTTTACGTCTATTAATCAACTTTGAAAGCTCTGCCAGTTCTATTTCGTCTGTTGTACTTGACACTTTCATGATTTGACGCTTCTTAATTAGGTTCTTCGTTTCCTGGGAGAGCTTGCCAGTGTCCTGTCTAACTACCCTGCCTCCAACTTCCACTGCACACTCTGTAATGATACTCGTCAGATTATCATTCATTGTATCTACGCTAAGGTTGGTTTCCTCACTAAGAGCCGAGTACCTGTTCTGCAGCGACACTCTGAATTCCTGTACTTTCCCCCTCAGTGCTAGCTCATTGATTGGCTTCCTGCGTATCAGTTTCTGTCGTTCCTTCTTCAAGTCTAGGCGAATTCGAGACCGTACCATTCTATGGTCACTGCATCGTACCTTGCCAACCACTTCCACATCCTGCACGATTCCTGGGTGTGCAGTCATTATAAAGTCTATTTCGTTCTTATTTTTGCCATTAGGGCTCCTCCATGTCCACTTGCGGTTTTCTCGTTTTCGGTAGAAGGTATTCAAAATCCGCAAATTATTGCGTTCTGCAAATTCTACTAGTAGCTCTAGTAGATATTGAATCACTGTTCAATTTGGAGTGTTCCCTTATCATAGGAGTTATATACCGTCCTCCGAACTCGTCTTACGTTTCTTTTCTAGATATGCTTGAAAAGGCGCTATTTACACTTGCGGCAACCTACAATATTACCATTGTCATTACAGGAGACTTCAATATTGATACCTGCAGTCTAGCGTCTTCTGATTACGAGTTTTTGCTTGCTTCTTTCAATCTTCGAAACTTGATCTCTACGCCCACACATTTAACTAGCACCTCAGCCACCATCATAGACCACGTGTTGACAAACATATCCACCCCGATCAATGCAAGTGTGTATGACGAACCAATCTTTGATCACCTTCCTATCTGTATCTAGATTATAGACCTGTCCAAGACTTCACCTAAAAATCACCCTGTCATTAGAAAAATAGATTATACCCTATTAAGGAACGAACTTCTATCTCTCGTACCAAGCAGTGTGTACCATGATAATGTAAATACTGAGGTTGTCAATCTAATCGAAACTATAAAGACTGCAATCAGTAACACTAGTAGTACCGTATCTTCTCGCTCTTATAATGTCCCGATCTGCCCTTCAATGACCCAAGACATTCTTGCTATCTTGAAGAAAAAACAGTTCTGGTACAATAAATGGAAACGGCATAAACATAATCATTATTACTTAGGGCAGTATAAAAGGTTACGGAATCAATCTGTGGCAATAATCCGTGTACGCAAGAAGAACTACTAGTCCAGCTTGATACAACGCGCGAATGGGGATACAAAAATAATATGGAAAATTATACAAGGAGTTGTAGGAAATTCTAGTGCGCATCGAATCCTCCCTTTAAAAATAGACGAACAAACTGCTGAAAACTTCAATTCATACTT